GTAGTTTATCGTCGCTGACCAGCAGGGTGCAGCCTCATGTATTCCTTGAGTCGTGTGGTGGCCTCGTCGCGGTCGAGCTGGGCCTGGTAGAGCGCACTGCCCTCCTTCAACAGCTTCTCCTCGAGCAACTTGTACTGTACGCAGACAGACAGACAGACAGACCCATAGATAGATAGATGTGTGCCCGCAGGGACCCGGGAGGTAATATAATCAATCGGTGTGTGTGTGGGTGGGTGGATGAACGAATGGCTTACTTGTTCTTGCATTTCCTGCAGCCTCTCCTCCAGCCGGATGGCCTCCTGCTCGTAGTGCCGGGCCTTGGCCAACATGTCATCCGCATGCTGAGAACCAAACACTGCAGCCAGACAGCCAGCGAAGGAAGCATAGCATACAGACAGAGCACTCACTCATTCCCTCATTCCCTCATTCCCTCTCTCTCTCGTCGGGCTGACTGCGTGGTGCGCTTACCGCTATTGTTGGGAAGGATCGCCATGATGACCTGCCCCTCCTCGATGCGGTCAGTGGATGCACTCGACGGGGCAGTGTGGTCCTGCCCGTGGGCCTTGGGGTGCACCTTAGTGCAGCGATAAAGAGCGATTTGGTCGGCGGCTATGGGGGTGCCCAGCTTGGCCTCCCTGAAGAACCCGCTGAAGTATTCCGCCTGAACTCAATGCGTAAGCGTGCCGTTTTTGATGACTTCTTTGCTGTCTGTCGTCCGTCTGTCTATGTGGCTGCCCTCCCTTCTGCTTACCGCGTGTTCGACGGTGCATGAGTGCAGCTTCAGGTCGGTGGCATGCAGCCCAGCACACAGCTTGATGGGCATGCCGCTCAGAACGGGGTGATACACCCGCAGTGCACCGATTCGGTTCGCCCCGATGTGCGTGCAGTGCGCTTGGCTCAACGAATTCACAGCGATGTGAAACAACCACGGGAAACCAACTTGAGAAGTTAAGCGCTCCTGAAACTGATGGCTGAACCAACTTAACAACTTAAGCGCAAGCAAAACTGAAGCTGATCTCGCACAGATTCGGTCCCTCCTTTTTTTCATCTCCGGAAACCACATGGATCCAGTGATGGCATTACGCATCTGCGGCAGCACAGCCTCACGAAGATGGAAGATCAGCCTCCGCCGGGCAGTTCGCTCCTTCAGCACTGCTGCGGTGGACACTCACTCCCCTGCCGCCTTCCCTGATGCGATGCCCATCAAGGCCTCTCCCTCTCCCGACTTGGAGATCGACATAGGCGGCGGTCAGAAGCTGATGCGGTATCCTGAGCTGGACCACATCAAGACCATGAAGAGCAGCGACCTGCGGCGGCTGTGTGAGAGCGCCGTGGCCACCAAGAACACGACTCTTGAGCTGTGGATTGCCATTGCACAGAGGGCGCTGGAGAGTGCGGACTCCCTCAAGGTCTGTTCAAATGTAACGCATGGCAGGCAGCCAGGCAGGCAGCCACCATTCGTGAGTGCATCGGATCCCCCACGTGAGCCTTTGTTTGTATGGGTGTGGTGTGCAGGTGTGGGATGCGATCATCGTGTTGGAGTCGTTTGCAGCGGTCAACATGGTTGACCGCACCCTCTTCCTGGCGCTGGCCGAGCAGTTCCCCAAGGCGGCCCTCAAGATGGAGCCGCGGCTGATCATCAGCCTGTTCACTGTCTACGAGAAGGCCAAGCTGCGGCCTCGTCTGCTCTATGTGGAGCTTTTCCACAGCCTGATGAAGCAGACGGACCGCATGTACGGCCACGAGTTGGCCGACGTGCTGGCCATGATGGCGCGGCTCAAGGTCGGCAACCCCCAGGTGCTGCGGCACATGTGCCGGGCGCTGGTCAAGTATGTGCACCTGCTGCGCTTCCTGCACGTCTGCTGCGTCTACGGGGCGCTACGGAGTCTGGACGTCACCAACACCACCGTCTATGAGGTGCTGGAGAAACGCGCTGACATGGAGCTGCAGATGCTGCCGGTGCAGGAGCTGCTGGATGCACTGCAGGTGAGTGAGGTGACCGACTCAGACAGACAGGGCGGGGCGACAAGGGTCCATCCATATCTCTCTATACGCCACGCCCCGCCCCGTGTGTGTGTTGGGCATGGCACACACGTATGTATGTCTGCAGTCGGTGGGCAGTCTGGAGTTCAGTTGGCATCCGTTTGAGAAGATGCTGCTCAACGAGTACCTCAAGCGCACTACCAAGTTCGAGGACGGGCGGGACGTCGACGAGCTTGCCGACCCCTTCGCAGCCATGGACTTCATGCGGGCGCACGGCCTGCTGCACAAGGAGTTCCTCACGGCACTCTGCAAGTGGTGCGTTAAGGCCACCTACAGACCTGCCAAGAGGTGAGCGAACGGGATGCGGAGTGAGAGCAGGGGCAGATCCATCCACGAGAGCTCGGTTTTGTCTATCTCATGTGTGTGTACACAACATCCATGCCATGCAGGTCATGGAAGCGGCCGATGAGCCACCAGTTGGTGCAGCTGCACGACATTTGCAGGTAAATACATATGCTCAGGCTTTTAACAGCAAACAGCAAGAGAACAGCACACAGCGTCTGTCTCTGTGTGTGTGTGTGTGTGTGTGTGTTGCGGTGTGTTGCCGTCCGTCGTCAGGGAGTGGGGCCTGGAGGAGAACCGCGATTTGCAGCAGGCAATTCGTCACTTCGTGTCGACCAAGGGCGGCACCGACCGCTACATGATGTGGCGGGCAGACATACCCAAGTCCACCACCTACGCCACCCGGCGGCCCTACTTCCTACGCCCAGACCCCCTGGAGAGGTACCAGGCCATCCTGGCCTCACAGCCGCCAACACATGCAGACCATGACGCTGATGAGGTTGCCGGTGAGGAGGACCAGCAGGAGGAGCCGAGTGAGATTGACGCGCCGGTGGGCGAGAGCACGAGGGAGGACGGGGCTGTGCCGCAGATCGGCGTCAGGTGGTCGCGGGTGAGTGAATGAGTGAGGGAGCAGACACGACACGACGTGCCGCAACACGGATATCGCACACCATTATGTTGTGTGGTGTTGTCTTGTGTGGTGTTGTGGTGTATTCCGTTCCTGCAGCCGCGTCGTCCCAAGACTGTCAAGGGCAATCCGAATCACCGGGAGTACACGCTGCCGGGGCGGAAGGGTTTCAATGTGCACACGTGGAAACACCCAAGGCCAGCCAGGCCCAAGAACCTCAAGGCTGTCGACGTGTGAAGTATATGCGGATGGATGGATGGACCGAATTAATGCCCCTAGCTTTGAGGCTGACCTAACGGAACGAACTGGTGTGCGTGTAAGTATATGTATGTGTACGTGTGTTGAGATCTCAACGTACGTACGTGTGTTGTGTTGCGTCATGTTGTGCAATTTCTGACCGCGCGTTCATTGTATATTCACCCGTCGTCCGTCCGTGTGTGTGTGTGTGTCGACCATGCAACGCACATGTTCGACCGGAAAGGAGACAGCCGATAATACAAAACCAGGAATCACTCACCACCCACACGCCAGCTCTGGGATCATCATCCCACCCAACGCTGCACCCAACGCTGGTCGTGTTGGTGACCTTCTTGTGCTTCACACACCGAGAGAGACAGAGAGCGAGAGAGAGAGACACGAATATTGCTCACCGACACTGTCCCTCTCCCTCTCCCTCTCCTCACGTTTGTATGTATATAACCCCTGCTTGTTGTAGATTTGCAATACGTGTGTGAGTGCATGTCCCACACCACCCCGTGAGGCTTCTGTGGGGCTCCTCGCATTCATGGATAGATGGATGGATGGATGGATACATGGAGTCTGTCTGGCATCAGCCACGCCACACTCGAGAACGCCATACAAACCACACTCGTGGTAATGAGGAGCAACAGGAACAAAACGCTGGATGGCGACGAATGCACCAATGGCATGTGTGTGTGCGTGTTTGTCTGTGTGCCCCGGGGCGTGTGTCTGTGTGAGCAGCGTGCTGTTTATCCGCGGGACAACGACGGCAGCACATAGACAGGCACGGCCTTGCTGTCTGCATGGATGGCGTGGAGGCAGTTTTTGTCTTGTATGCATGTGAAGGGTGACCGAGAGACTCACGTCCTTGCTGGACGGATGGATGGATGAAAGGATAAACCGATGTGTCCTTGTCTGTTCGGTGTATACACAAACACATCCAAGCTGAGCAAAAAGGGTGAGGTGACACACACGCAAACGCACCACACGCACACCAGCAATCCAACACATACACAGACACACACACACATGAACGCGTCGCGTCGGGCACACATGTCCTGTTCTCTATCTGCGAGTGCACACATTCTCTCTGTCCGTCCGCCGACCCCCCCGCCCCCCTCCCCCCACACACAGACACACACACACACACACACACAGAGAGAGAGAGAGAGACACCCCCTTCACACAAAGGCACCAAATAGCACGCGATTCGACACGCACACGCACACGCAAGCGCACACAACACACTCTTTTTAGCGTACACACAGTGACGATGGCATGACGTACGTTTATATGGATGGGTATACAGCGAGTACATACATACATATGATATGGTTTGGTTGCAGTGGGGGAATCACACGACACGACACGACACGACACCACACGACACGACAGCAAGCAGATACTGAACACCACCATACAGCGACGCGACCGGCAGGTTCCAGCCAAAGCCCCACTGAAGCGCCTTCATGAAACCGCTTGCTGTCGTTTCACGAAGCTGCTTTTCACCGAGGATTCGAGAGGCACCCCCCCTGCCTGTTGTGTTGAACCAACCGAGTGTGAAACGACACACTTCGGCTCGGCCCCCACCCCCACACCGACATGGCTAGCGACCCGGCCCAGGCAACCTAATCTGGTGGATGGATGGACGACTGGCTGAATTACGTCCCGTACAAATGTCTATGACTCACTCCACTCCCCTCCACTCCCCTCCGCGGCCCTCCACACTTGACCGACAAAATGAGTGGATGCTCAATCAATATAAATACCTATATACAGTGAGTGCTCTTCTGGGTGCGGTGCATCCCCCTTCATTGCCCTTTCTCTGGCGCGACCTACTTGTCGGCCTCTCTCTCTGTCTGTCTGTCTGTCTGTCTATGGCCCAAAGATCCGCTCCCACCCCAGCAACACCAACTCGTACACACCAAATGTGACGGCTCCAACTGTAACACACAGAGAGAGAGAGAAGGACACCACGCAATGCTTCTGAAAGAGCCGCGTCAGCTCATGTTGTCTCGCTGCGTCGTACCTGGGAATGCCCGCACGACCGACGGCAACAAGCCGCGTGTGAAACCCCGCCAGCCAGACTACACCGCACGCACAAAACACACGGGGGAAGTGACTGACACGAATGAGCGCCCGATGGTATGGTGTCTATGCAGCCCAGCCTGGTCAGCCTGGTCAGGTCAAGTACAGTACCTGTCTGTAGATGGCTGCTGCGTGTGGCATCCACTTGGGTTCCCACAGGTGTGCTGACGGCCCCCTGGCCTGCAGGGAGCTCTTGACCACATCAAACGGGTGACAGATAACTGCAGCCAGCCAGCCAGGCACAACACACAAACCAAGATGTCCACTGTCCACACACACATGTGTGTGAGTGATGCCACAGCTGGCTTGCCGTGCAGTCATGGCGGCTTACACCATGCGAGTGTGGATGCGGTTCCTCCGGCAGTCATGACCTCCGTGGCTGTGGGTGTGTCGCGATGACCTCTCCTCCGACAAAATTCGCAACACAGCCACTCGTATGCCCCAAAATACACACCGTAGGTCCTGCCGGCCGCACACACACACGGACAGGGAGAGAGAGAGTTCATGTGTTGTGTGTTTGCCGCGTATCCATCCTCGTTAGGTTTTATCAGGACTGCTTACCCGGCATCTCTGACGCAGGTTGCTGCCGCCCCGTGCATGAGCCCGCGGATCACTCCGTGCTCCCGCATCACCCACATGGCGCACTCCCACGAGTTGCGGAAGTGGGCGGCATCTCGACGCGGCACCACCACCCGCCCCGTGCTCATGGCCCGGCACATGCCCTCGCCCTCCAGCCCCACCACAAACGGCCGCTTGGGCGCCTCCGGCAGTGGACGGGACGACAGGGGAGAGGCAGTGGAGGGAAGCGGTGAAGGTGTAGGGGGGTGGTGCATGGCCATGGCCGGCGGTTGGATGGCTGCGGTGGTTATGCGTCTGGGTGTGGGTGAGGTGACGGAGTCGGCGTCCATTTGCATGCGTATCTTAATGACATCCATGGGTGTCTGCAGGGGGACGCCGATCAGCCCGGCCGCAGACCCCGCCACCACCACCTGCCAGATGGGCTGCTGCAGCCGGGACTGTTTCGACGTCGATGACGCCTCGCTTCGCGGGGTCGTTGGGGTCCTCGCCCCGGCGTTGTGGATGCGGTCGATCATGGCGCATGTGTTGCCGTACGCCCCGAACACCAATGAGTTGAGAGGCAGGTTGCCCAGCAACGGCGGGGCTAAGCCGCGGAAGAAGGTCAGGATCCCGTCACGCCTCAGGGCCTGCCACGGGTCCAGAGGACAGAGAGAGAGGGGCTCGAGAGTGTAGAACTACGCGGATTGCTCTCTACCTGTGTGAGGCATTGTGAGGAAGAGGCGAAGATGCCTTTCGATGTGGACTGCAGCCGGACCTTCAGCGTGTCCATCGGATGACCACACATCACACCGAAAGCCCCTGCAATCGCACCTGAGAGAGAGGCAGACACGCACACATGTGATTCGTGTGCATGCCGACCATCGGGCGGCCGACCTGACCTGCTACGTGCTCTGCCCAGAATGAATGGACGGCCATGGAAGGGAAGTGAACGTCGATGGCCTCCATCTCGCGATGTATCTATTCGAAGTCTGCTGGGCATTCACCTGACGGCCTGAAGATAGTCTTGAACGCTCTCGATGGCGGGCTGCAGCTTCCCTCCGCGAGCTCGAGCTCGCACGCCGTCTCGAGCCCCCCTTCGGCCCCCAGGTGATCGCGGCTTCACGTGCACACACTTGACAATCATCTGCACACAACGCTGAAAGCAACGAAAATGGCGGACGCGCTGCGTGAATTCATTGATGGCATCTCCAGCGACATATCTATGTATCTGAACCCCTCCACGCCGGCCTCCCTGCCGCCGCTCGATGTCGACGAACAGTCCGCTGTTGTGCTTTCGCAGCTGAGAGGACTGCTGGTCTATCAAACGTAAGCCGTGGACCGACAAACGGCCGATGGCTGTCAGATCTGTCTGTGTCTTTGTGTGGTGGATATGCATGTGGCAGTGGGTGTGTGGGCCCGTGCCTGGATCGTTGGGCGTCTGTGATTGAGGATTTTGGGATGGGCCGGAGCCTCTTTACAGATACGCAGCTGAAAGGTGATCGAGGACGGGTGTATGATTGCTGGCTGCATTTGTGAAGGTATTTTGGATGAATATATGCCTGACGTTGTTTGTGTCTGTCTGCAGAGCTCAAGACGGACCCGTATGTGCATCGGAGGCAAAGGAGGAGGAGCTCACAGGATGTGGTACACATAACCACATAACATTGCACACATAGGCCCTTTGGACGCGATATTTATGCTGCCCATGCCCATGCCCTTGTCTGTCTGCAGAGTGAAGCGTTCGGGGCCCCCCCACACTCCGCTTCAATCAAGTAAGGAACCCCACATCAATGCTACAAGGCTGCTTTGTGATAGTGATAGTGTATGTCTCACGTCAGCTTCCCCGAGCCCCCAATGGAGCACCTCCCCCTGAGGCCACACAATGAGACAACCGCCGACACCAAAATCGCCAGCTCGACACCTGTGAGGTTCTCGAGCCTGTTTGAGAGCGGCAACCTCAAGTATGTGGTGTGCACTGACGCGGATGGCCCCTGTACGGAGTATGACCTCGTGCTTGACGAGGATGCCAACACAAAGGGGCACACACAGTGGTTCTACTTCTGCGTCGCAAACATGCACAAAGACACCACTATCAGGCTCAACATTGTCAATATGGTGGGTGGGGGATGCCAAGAAGCACCTTATTGTGTGTGTCATATGTGCGTGTGTGTGTCTTCAGAGGAAGCCCCGTTCTCTGTATGAGGTGGGCATGCAGCCGATGGTCTTCTCAGAGCGAGCTGCCGGGCGAGTGCCTCTCACGCCATACACCACTGGCAGCAAAGCACCACACCCGCCGTCTGTTGCCCCTGAGGATCGACAGACAATGTGGCTGCCCGAGGGACACCGGATATCCTACCAAGTCAACACCGTCCGACGGAGGCCCAGAACGGCGACAAACGAGACAGCGGCTGACGATGGTGCCGGTGATGCAGCAGATGAGGATGCGGGCCGGCCAGCGAAGCGGAGCAAGGAGTTCTACTACACCGTGACTTTCCACTACACCTTCCTGCACGACCAAGACTGCGCGTTCTTTGCCTACAGCGTGCCGCACACGTATTCGATGCTGCGGTCGACGATCGCGTCTCTGACTTCCAACCCTGCCACGAGTGCGCATGTGCGGAGGAAGGCCGTGTGCAGCACGCTGGCCGGGTGTGCTCTCGACATGCTCAAGATAACAAACTTCAAAAGCGATGACAAGTAGGGAGACACACACAGAGAGGCGGGGAGAGACATGACATACGGCATGGCATAGTGTCTTTTTCTCTCTGTGTGTGTGCCTGTGTGGGCGTGCAGTGCATACGAGAAGCGTGTGGTGGTGATATCATCGCGTGTGCATCCAGGGGAGACGAATGCGAGTTGGATGATGCACGGGCTGCTGGTCTTCCTCCTCTCCAACTCACCCGAGGCCGTCACACTCAGGGACCGGCTGTGCTTCCACATATACCCGATGCTCAACCCTGATGGCGTCATCACAGGCAACTACAGATGCTCCCTCGCAGGTCAACCAGTCCGCCAGCAGTTTCTCGAGTCGAGATATGCACAGACTGCCCATCCATTGTGTCAAGATTGCATGTCTCTGCAGGTGTGGACCTCAATCGTCAGTACCTGTCGCCCCATCCCCACTTTCACCCCACCATAGCCCATTTCAAGCAGGCGCTGGAGGCTTTGATGACGCCCATGTCCAAGCCTTCAGCCACAGGGGATGTCCAGTCATGGCGGACACCACTGGTGGCGTCGCAGTCGGGAAGTCCTGAGGCACACAACGGCGACGGCGTATCTGCGGGGGGGGATGGCGCTGGGAATGAAGGAGAGGGGCCGCCCAAGCTGGCACTCTTCGTGGTGAGAGGAGAGCACAAGAGTGAGACACACACGCCGTGGGCGGGCCAGATTCATGCTGAGTGAGACATGTATGTGTCAGGATTTGCACGGCCATTCGCGCAAGACCGGCATCTTCACATACGGCTGCTCGCCCAACGATCCCCAGAAAGACGCATCAGAGTCCGCACACTCACTGATATATCTACACAAATGAGAAACTCTGCATGCCCTCACTCCTCTGTCGTCAGGTACTTCCAAGCCCGTGTGCTGCCCAAGCTGCTGGCTGTGGTATGCCCCTCCTTCTACTATCCGTTTTGCAAGTACCGAGTCGAGAGGTCCAAAAGGGGCAGCGGGCGGGTGACGGCCTACTTGGACGTCGGCGTGCAGTTCGCCTACACGCTGGAGGCATCATTCTACGCCCCAGTGCCCCCGAGTCAGCGCGTGGGCGGCAACAAGGCGGGTCTGACCAAGGACAAGAAGGAGAGTGGTGGCGATGTGGCGGTGCAGTTCAATCAGAGGTCGCTCATCTCGGTGGGGGTGGCCATCGCCAAATCACTCATTCTCTTTTTCAGGTGTGTCACACCTGCCACACACATGGACGCTGGATGTGTGTCTTATGCGTGTGTGCATGGCATGTGATGGATGGGATGGCTTGCATGGCCATGGACAGGCTGGGTTCCCATCTGACTCGTGTGGTCAAGAGGCGAGCGAGCTCCTCCTCTGAGCCGTCAGCCTCATCGGCCACTGCAACCCCTGCCGCATCTGCTGCTGCTGGCACTGCTGCAGCATTTGCACCGCCAACCTTCCGCCCAATTGCGGGAGGTGCTGCTGATGGAGAGGGTGGCAGTGACCGTATGAGCGAGGCTGAGATCGATGAGGACTATATGGCTGAGAGGGACGACCGGAGCGACGCAGGCGAAGGAGAAGGAGATGAGGGCAGCGAGGAGGCGGACGAGGGAGACGATGACATGAGTGAGGAGGGGGAGGAAGGGCAGGACGAAGACATGAGCGGGGAGGAAGAGGAGGACGACGATATGGCAGACTCGGACGCTGATGCCGGTGAAGGAGGACGGGCACACACGCCCACATTCATGCCGCTGCCAGCACCGGACGGCACCGCTGCCGATGAGACGCAACAATCGCCATTGGTGCCAATCGCCAGCATGGACATCGAGCGGACCCTTCTGCTTTTGCGTGAGGCTCCTCGCGAGCTGGCCGCCACCAGCAGCCCATCCAGTCTCATGCTCGGCATAGATGACATTGTCGACATGGCCGGAGGCGCTGTGGACACGATTCAGTCTCTAGAGGCAGCTCTCCACCTGGCTGAGGCTGCCGAGAACGCCGACACGCTTCTCGAGGCCGTGAGTGACATGGACGAGTTCAGCGATCGAGACGACGCATCGCAGCAGGCCTCATCTGTGGGCTCGGACAGCAACCCGTCTGAAGACAATCTCGCACAGGTTGAGCGGCTGAAGAGGTCCGAGAGTCTACTCAAGCGCAAGCAGCGGTGGTACGCCAAGCACACGCGACGGGGGAGCGGAGACAAGGGCAGGAAGAAACTGAAGCGCAGAGGGAGGAAACCTCGGCGAAAGAAACGCAAGGAGCAGCGGACACGGAGCGCCCCACCGAGGCAACCGGAACCCCAAAGGGAGCGAGTGTCGGTTGCATTTGGACGGACCATTCAGCCCGCCAAGCCGTCCTCCCCACCTCGAGATCGCATCATCACATCACCCCCCACCGATCGCAGCGGTGCCCTGAAAAGGCCGCAGCTCCCATCAGCCTTTGCGGCAGCAGCAGTCACGAGTGACACGGACGCCACCCGGCAGACACCCTCATTCCTGCCGCCCCTCCCACCACCAAGACGCCCGGTGTTGCGCAGCGACGCCAGGATCGCGGGGCTGGTGCCCGACAGCCTGCCACTGGCGGTGAGTGCCACCTCAACATCTCGGGGCGGCCGGCTTGTTCGAGGGGGGACGCCGCTGAGACAGAGGAGGATGGACAGGGAGACCGCTGTTGCTGCTGCTGGGGATGCGACCACTGATGTGGAGAGTCCGCTCGTGCGCATCCCGACGCCCCCGTCTCTGACGCAGTCGAGGCGGGACAGCGGCAACACCGGCTACGAGCAGCCTGGTGGTCTGTTCGGCATACAGCAGCAGAGCGCCCACCACATACACACCCGGTCGCAGCCAAATCTGCAGCAGCTGGAGACGGCACTCAACACCATGTTCCAACCAAGGCCACCAATCATTGCCGGCAGGCAGCCGCAGCAGCCGTCATTGGCTCGTCAGCACCAGCCGAAGGGTGCGTACAGGGGTCCTGTTGAGGCCTACAGGGGCGGTCGGGGGGAGGACACAGTCGCGCTGGGGAGAGCGTCGCTGCCAAGACACCTGAGACAGCAGCTGGAGAAGATATTGGGCAAAGATAAATAGATAGGTATAGAGGCCGAGACAGAGAGACAGACAGGCATGTATTGGTGTAGAGGGGTACATGTGTGTGTGTGTGAATGCGCATGTGCCTTTGGGTTATGCATATATACGTCTGTGAAGCAGATTTGACGATTGACGTGTGAGCATCTTGGGGATGGATGATTTCATCACATTCTCGCCTCGTGCTGAGCTTGTTTGGTGACACATCCTCTGTGTGAGGGGGACGGGTGGTGTGCATGGAGTTGGACAAGAGGTTTGTGAGCATGAAATTACCTTGTGGTCAGTCAGGACGCAGGCCTATATCTGTATGTCTTTCATTCATTTAGTTGGCCATCGTCCATCAGATCGTACGATATGTAGACAAGAAACGAGTGAATGTATGCCTAGACCATCGACATAGACAGACAGACAGACAGACGGACAGCCTTTTGGCCTGCATCCCCCCTCCCTCCCTCCTTGCAAGCCACCGCACACAAACCACCACCTCCTCCGACCCCCCCCACACACCCCACTACTTGAATTTCTTCTTTTCTTTTAGCGGTTTGAGTATCTGGAACGAGCACATGAGTGTCTCGTCGACGCTCATCATCGCGCCGGCGTTGTCGAACTCGCCGCAGTAGTTGGGTGCGGAGAAGAGGGTCACCAGCTGCCGCTTAGCCGCGAACTCGTACCCATCCTCGACCACCTGGTGCGCCCGGCACACCAGGTCCATGTCGTGCTTTCTCAGGAAGTTCTGCACTATGTCGGGCCCGTAGGTGTACGACACGCCCCGGTCGTTCTCCTGCCAGCCGTTGGTCTCCTTGTCGGGATCGGCCCACACCATGTCGCACAGCAGGCCTGCATCGGGGACGTCTGTAGGTCGGACGATCCGGCGGATCTGCTCCATGTTGTTGAGCTCGGGCGAGAGGCCGGCGTGCACGCAGAAGATCTTCTCGTCGATGATGGCTGCGAATGGCATGCAGTTGAAGCAGTCGGTGAAGGCCTTCCACAGCTTGACGTTGTAGCGCCGCTTGCACTCGTCGTAGAACCCGTAGATCCGGTTGATCGACGCGATCTCGTGGTTGCCGCGCAACAGAAAGAAATTCTACAGACAGACACAGAGAGACACAACACAAACACCGGCAGACAGACAGTCACCCCTCTGTGTGCTGTGCCGCCACACATCGACATGTATGCCCCTTCCTTCTTTTGGTGTCTGTGTGTACCTCTGGGAATTTGATCTTGTATGAGAGCAGGAGGCAGATTGTCTCGAGCGACTGTTTGCCGCGGTCGACGTAGTCCCCGAGGAAGAGGTAGTTGGCCTCCGGGGGGAAGCCCCCGTACTCGAACAGCCGCAACAGGTCATAGTACTGACCGTGGATGTCGCCGCAGATCTTGATTGGCGCCTCCAGCTCCAGCAACGCCGGCTGGGACAGAAACACCTCGCGAGCCTTCGTGAGCAACCCACGCACCTCAACCTCTGATGCGGCAATCAACATGTACGCGCAAGGAGAAAGCGTCGGTCGGTCAGGCAACACCTCGCGCACAACCGTCTCTGGTGTGTGTGGGCACCTGTCAGCTGAACGGGCTTGAAGTTCCCTGGCCTCGCTCCACGCACCTCCAACTTTTCACTGATCAACGCAGACAGAAAGGAAGAAATTGAAACCACCATCCAGAGGGGCCCTTTCCGTGTCAGCATTTGGTGTGTTGCCTCACATGACTGCGTCGACGTCCACATCGGGGGCTGCCATGGCGCATACGGGGCTTCACAGCGGACCAGATGGCGAGAACGGCGAGAGCGGATGAGGGAGCGGTCAGAAAGCGCCGAGGCGCCTGCGGGCCAGGCGGGGGCCTCTCCGACGCAAAACACCGGGTTGCGGCCCGCCTCTCAAGCTGCTATCGTGGGCTGCGTGCGGAAAACACACAGCGCGGGCCCCGGAAAAGTGGTCCAAAATCTGCCACTTGTGTCCCTCATTATCGCCCCGGCCTCTTCTCTCCCGCCCCTCGCCCTTCTCTCCCTGTCTTCTCGTCACTCGAATTGTATCGTCGTCCGCTCTCTGACCGCTTCTTGCACGATGATGGTGACGAAGCTTCTGTCCATGCTGGCATTTTCGCCACACACAGTGGAGCACAGTGGAAAGACATCCACGGATGTCCATCGCACGAGACATGTGTCTGTGTGCCTTCGTGTGGTTCGTACTTGGAGACGTATGTACGTGCATACGGAGCAGATGTATTGATTGACACGTGACCCATCTTCCTCACGGAGGGGATGGGTTTCAGCGCAGTCTCGTCTCCCTTTGCATTTGCGGCTTTGTTTGGTGAAGGTCCGTGAACGTCCTCTGTGCACGAGTGTGAATTGTGTGAGTGTGTCCGGGGGGTGTGTGGGTGTGAGGTTGACCAAGAGGGGTACACACATTATAAGGAAGGAAGTTTAAATCAATCACGGGAATGAGTGATACCTACGGACACACACGCATGCATGTACCTATGGATGTCATGGTCATGGATGAAGGAAGCATCAATGAATCAATGACTGAATCCACCCAGTCCGTCACTTGTCATTGTATGTCTCGGCACGCACTCACAGACAAGCCAAGGGGGGCTAGCTACGGAATCAGACAGGCACTCAATCACTCACTCAGCCACTCAGTCAGTCAGTGGGCGGCGGGGTCATTAGGTAGGATAAAGAGAGAGCACAGCAGAGGCCCCCCGGCACGACAATGCACGTGCTGCGCACCCATACAAACATACATACGCACTGCTGGTTCAAACAAAAACAGCAGTTAAGTGTAGTGGTGTGATGGACAAGCAGCAGCAGCAGCTGCAGCAGACACCCGCTGCCGCACGTACATGTGATGTATTCCTTGCTGTCCGTCCGTCTCTTTAAAACACCAACCAGCGATCAATGAATCGGTCAATCAATGGCCCCAGGCACCTTTCTCGGAAGGACGCCCTCCCTCCCTCCCTCTAATTGCACGCAGGTCTCTGCCTGCCTGCCTGCCGCTGACTGCATCCCTCCGTCCAATCAAAACGATTCATTTCATTCATTAGGGCCCAACAGGCAGGCACACAGACGGACCGAGACAGACAGACAGACAGGCAGGCAGGCCCGTTGAATTCTTCTGATTGATAAATCCATGGTAGATATTCATCTATCCATCCATCCATACCCCATCGCCCCATCCACACGTGCGATCCTTTGATGCGCTCTCACCCACTCCCCACCACCACCACCGGCATCGTAGACAGACAGACAGACACACTATGGTTATTGGCATTCACGTAGTCATTCATTTGGAGAAAAACCTTCCGCAAAAGCACGA